AACACCAATCACAACGAGCGCAGTAACGAGTTGTACACCGCGTGGCTTAAGATACCGGCGCTCACGGAAATGGCGTTGGAAGCGGTTCTTCATTACGTTCACCGCCGCCGACAACAGACACCCGACGGCGACCTCAAGTCAGTTGACGAGATACTGATTGGTCTACAAATACCTCCAAATATCAGACAAACATACCTTTAGTTAGCGTTAGGTTTTTTCCAATTGATTTCATTATATTTTTATGTGATGTCTGTATGTATTGTATATTTTTTATGTCGATCTCAGAGTTTTGAATTGTTTTTTTCCAAGTTTTGTAATAAAACAAATTTCATTTAATTTGTTGTGTAACTTAAAACATGAATAATTTGTTAAATCGTTACAAGTATTTTATTAAAACATTTTTTGACCCATTTTTTAGAGAATTTGTAATATGTGTTCTTATCGTAAGCCTGTTTTGCTAAAGCCATCAAATGTGTGGCCATTTGTGGACCGGTTTGTTGGACCAACTGATGGAAGAGTCCGTTGGCATTGTGTAAGAGATGGAAGGGATGGCCGAACTCGCGTGTAGTAACGGTCCATACAATGGTTGTACAGTATGTAGTTTTCCAGCGAAGCTTACCATTAAGTTTGTCGACACAATATACAGTATCATTTAAATATAACTTTAATTTAACAAAAATTAGTCTCATTTGCGATAGAATTGTTATTTTATTATCAATAATATATTTTAAAATACAATTTTTATTACAAAAAATCATTAAATATGAATACATTTTCAATATATGAAATATACTGTACATATCGTTAATTTAAACTTAACACACATTATATACAGTATATCGTTATACTTATCATCGAAACAATTAAATATAATAATTAAATTAGTAAAATTAGTAGTAATGAAGAGTAAAACAGCATATTTTCACGTCAACAGCAAATGAGCAGAGATGTGATGGAATTGTCATATCATTAGTAATTCCAATTCATATACGGTTTGTAATGAGGATTAAACTTTTCGATATAGAAAAATACAAATTAATTACATTTCATTGCAATCCATAAATTTAATTACAATTAAACCACACATTAATACAAACAAAAAGCAAATAAATGGGTAATAAAAATAAATAACACATATAATGCACACAATAATGAATTCATACTTTTTTGTGATCAGCCGCCGGTCCAGTGTTAGGCCTCTTATGATCATAAGTATTGTAACAATCGGTTGAATTAAAACTACTATCGATAGCGCGATAGTCAGTGTCCAATCGATAGGTGTCGTCGCACTTGAGTTTAATCTCATTGGAGACCTTCGCGCAGATATAGAGTCGATGGACAGTGTGTTTATGGGTTTGCGTTCGGATCGTCAACAGGGCGTCCGTCAGTTTGCGCTCATCGGCGCTGTCGGTGTCGCTAAACAGATACGAGTTTCGGACGTTAATCTCATTGGTCAGGAACTCCGGTATAATAGTCAAGTAGTTGAATACGTAGATAATAATCTTGTGGCCGTGTTTGAGCGCCAACTCGTATAACTCCAAGTGCTGACAAAGTGAACAATAAATAAGGGCTACATTTAACATACATTTAGTGACAATTAGATCAATGAAATACTTGATTATAATATATAGTCCAATAGCGGAGCGTCTCTTCGCACTGATAGGGCCGCCACTGCGGGCTCTGCGCGGGACTCAACTGTTTGCTGACCAGAAAGCCGGTGACAGACATCACTTCCGACACCTTCTGAAATATGTCGCCGCTCTCGACAATCTTGTTGTTGCGTTGGATCAGATCAATGATCTGTACCATCAGATTGACACACTTTATCTCATCGATACGGCTCTCCAGGTCTGACTGAAAGCATCGGAGCCGATGGTCGTGAAGGTCGGCGTTATAGCTATGATTCTGTATCGTTCGGATCAGCTCTTCCTCCGCTTCGGACTTGAATTTCGGTAATCTCTTCGCAAACTCTTCTCTCGCAGTCATTATATCCTTATATAAGGCGTTATTTGAATTGAAATAATTGTTGTTTAAGTCCTTAAACAACGGGAACGCCTTCTGAGCGCTGTCCACACTCTTGCACTCATTCAGTGTCTGATGTTTAAAAGGATTGAAAAAATTAATTAATACTTAATTAATGATATAATGAACGCATTTTTGTCATTACTTTCAAATAGACAATCGTGTAGTGTCTGTAATCCAAGCGCCAGCTCTCGGGCGACGAGACCTTAAAGCCTTGTTTTTCCATACGATAGTTGATTGTGTGGATCCACTCGTAGTGTGTAATCAAATCGCAGTTATTGTGCGAATAGTTGCGGGCGTCTGAGAATAGGAACGAATATTTCTTGATATCACCGCTACTCATACGATGGTTACAGTCATCGCCGATGATAGCCTTTTTATCGGCCGACTTCTTGTAGTCGACCCGCGACGGCGGCGGCGACTCGTGTCGACTCCTCTTATACTTGGGACTACTCTTTACATCCGACTTACTGTCTCTGTGTTCGCGTTTTGGCACTTTTGACGACTTCTTATCATCACTTTTCGTAGAACTCGAGGAAGACTTTTTAGATGACGAACTCTTTTGACTACTGTCTCGGGTCTTAGTGGTCACCGCCTTCGATGTCTTCGGGGAAGTCTTAGTGAACTTTCCAGTGATCGATGAACCACTAGTGGTTTTGGCTTTATTGGTGACCGACGATTCGCTGGAAGCGTTAGGCTTCTTCGCCGGTAATACGGCAATGATTTGAATATCATCTGAATTCTTAAAGCTATTCAATTGCTGCTCATTTCGCACCGCTTCCAGAATCTTATCGATATTCTTATCATTTATTTTGAGCCGCCGTTGACAACGAGGCGTCGATTTGCCCGTACGTCTGGCAATCGACTCCAGGGCTTCGGTAATCCTCTGATTCGAGTAGAAGATAGGGTCCAACCGTACGGTTGTTATGATATTCAAGAACTCGTAGATATACTCCACAACTCTGTTGTCGGATTTCATCGCATTCTTGTAGTTATAATAGTTCTAATGATTACAAAACAAAACATTAAAATCAATCATTAAAGACATAAAGTGTGGACACAATGACAGACCTCGTCGTAGAAAACTATCCACTCTTTGAGCGCTTGTTCGCAGTCGTCGTGATTCCAGTCGAGGCCACTGTCGGCCAGAATACGGGATATCTTGACGTAAAGGCCGGGTTCGCTGAGATGTCCTTTAAGGGCGGCGATGGCCTGAACAATGAGATTGAAAACTTTGATCTTCGGGACGTTAATCTCGAGCTTCTTGTGGAAAGCGATGGTCTCTTTGCGCAAATCAATCAGTTTTTGCTGTCGAGTGACCGTTCGCTTCAGTTTAGAGATGTCTTCGGTGTCGGGCATTGTGTTGGAGGTGTCTTCGTGTCGCCATCGCCTCATAAACGCCAATAAGAACTTTGATCGCGCGTTCATTACCTCAATGAACGCCGGGTTTCGGTGATTGAAATACATTTCGTTGAATTCCTCGAAGTATACAAAATTGTCTTTTGCCGAACATATCGAGTCGTATCGGTTGAGCGCCTGGAATGGACGACAAACCATTAGAATCAGTCAATGTATGGTTTAAATGAATGATTAAAGCAATTGACAATTCATACCTCAACGTATTTGTGGACATATGTCTGGTAACAGTTGTGCCACACTTTCGGATCGTAGTTCTTGAAGCCTTTGGCGGTCAGCTGTTTGTGTATAACACCCGTCCACTCAAAGTCGGTAATCAGATCGCAATTGTTTCGCGAGTGATCTTTGATCACATCCAATAGGATTGAGTACTTCTGGACGATCTCATTGGTAATCTCGTTAATCAATTGTTTCTCATTCGGCGTCTTAAGCGGTGACAAAGGATGCGGTGGAGGAGGAGTGGCGGTGGGTATGATCACCGGTAGACGCGGTATCGTATAACCACCAAAAGTGTTGTTCGCAGTCATTGGATCCACTGGACGGTTAGTCTCCCATCGGTTATTGGGATTCACGTGATTTGTTTGCTGGGCATTGAATGGTATACCAGTTGCGGGTGTATTATAGTGGCCAACAGGTCTGCCATCGCCAGCCAATCGGTTATCACTGAACGTTTTGCTAATATTGGCCAACACTTCCGTCACATTGAAGCCAACACTGACTGGCGGCGGCTGTGGAGGTCTTATGGCGCCACTAACTGGTCTACTATCATAAGCGGGTGCCCTGTAATCACTAACACGAGGAGACCGGTCACTAAACACTGGTCTACTATCAATAGGTCTGCCGTCACTAACGCGTGGAGGCCTGTGGTCACTGACTCGCGGATCCCTATTATCACCAACTGATCGATCATAAGATGGCGGTCTGTAATCAGGTCTTTGAGGAGACCTAAAACCAGAAACGGGACTCTCATTATAATTGTGTGGCCTGTGATCGGCAACACGTGGTGGAAGTCTATGTTCACCACCGGGTGGTCTCGTTTCATATACTGGCCTATTCTCAGCGACACGTGACGGCCTAACATCACCAATAGCTGGTCTGTTATCATAAGTCGATGGCCTCGTATCCGACGGCACAGTTCTGTTATAACTCTGAGGCCTATAATCATTGTTACGAGTGTTTTGGCCACTAAATTGTCTGTTAGTGTTGTTATTGTTATGCCGTACGAATCCAGCGGTGGTTTGCGGGCGGCTATTATGGCGGCTACTGTTGGATGGCTTCTCTTCAACGTTGATCACTGAGTCCTTCACAATCTTGTCCTTCAGATCTCTAATATTGATTTTTAAGGTGTCTTTCCATATCTTGGGATCAAATACAGACAATTCAGTTAATATGGCAGAGAGAGAGAGAGAGAGAGAGAGAGAGAGAGAGAGAGAGAAGCGGTGGCCTTCCTTTCTAAGGTCTCTCTCTCTCTCTCTCTCTCTCTCTCTGTCTGTCTGTCTGTCTGTCTGTCGATCACCACTAAACAGATGCCAATACTTACTGTAAAGCTGTGCGAATCGAAAGAGACTTGTGTACCAAAAATACCACTCTCTAAGTCAATCAATGGTACCATTTGTTGGATCAGTTGATAAACGGTGGCGAAGGGGACGGCATTGGCGGCCGATTGGCGCTGAATGTCATACAACTTGCCTTTGTATAAGAGATCGCAANCAAAAATACCACTCTCTAAGTCAATCAATGGTACCATTTGTTGGATCAGTTGATAAACGGTGGCGAAGGGGACGGCATTGGCGGCCGATTGGCGCTGAATGTCATACAACTTGCCTTTGTATAAGAGATCGCAAAACTTTTCGTTGTTTTCGCAATCCATGGCTTGTGTTTCGGCCCTCCCGTCGGCTCTCTGTCCTCTTAGACACCACTTTCACAGCATATGTTTGGTCTGTAATGACAGCACTATTCAAATCACGGCTCAATTCGGGTCCAAAACTGATTGTAAACAATGTTTTTGTGTATTGTGTTTGTAATCAACCGTTTCGTCACTTTTAAATATAGGCCTCAATAACGTTGTGAAACTGTTTTATGGGTATTATTCATATTACTATAGTTAACGTCTGATTCCCTATGAATGGGGGGCTTATTATTGACTCAATTATTGGCACGTTATTTATGGACACGAGTTGTGCAATAATCTCATGTGTTTTTCTTGAATCACTTTTATTGCGGTTTTTATTTGTTTTTTATTTTTCTCATTAAAAACATTGAAAACAAATCACAAAATAATTAATGATTTGTTTGAAGAGTTGTCTAAAACTTTATCAATCACTTCATGTGAATCGCCATCACTTCGTGTCGAGACAATTGTCTTCGGCGGCCACCGCTGGTCAGACGGCCGCCATCGCCGCCATCACTACAACAGCCGCAGATAATACGGAACCAATTGGTGACCGTATTACCAGACAATACGTGCCGATGACAGCCGACACCTTCATCCGCGCCAAAGACCCGGTGACCAGACGTCAGATTGAGATGATTTTGCGTGAATACGAGTGGACAAAGGGTCTGACGGGTCGAGTGCCCACACATCTCACCGACGAGCAAATGGATGAGTTGTTGCCGATGTCGGAGACCAGTCATCGGCAGCAATACCTCAAGTTCTTGTACACGAAGGAGGGCTACAAACTGAAGGGATTGGTCCGCAAACGTGTGTCGGCCGCGCGCTCTGAGGCGGCCAAAGGACAGCCATCGTTACGGCCGCGACCAGTGCTGGGCGTATGGCATGAGTCACGGCCCGCAGAACTGGTCTACGGCTATAACCGGAACTCTTTGTCTCAACGCATCAAGACATCTGTGGTTAAGCGGCTCTACAATCATCGGCTCAAGACTGCGGCCCTCTTCGGCCAGAAAGTGGTGATTGATTTGGATTTTGATAAATACATGTCACGCGTGGAATCGCGACAACTCTTAAAGCAATTGCAGTTTCTCTACAATTACAACAAATACGAGTCCGGAGGCGAACCCTTTGATCTCCATTTCGTCAACTGTACCGCCGATGGGATACTCATGAAAGACATTACTCTATACATACCGAACGCGTTGTCCGACTCGTACATCACTTTCCACTATAACAAGTCGTATACCGATGTCTTCCCCAGAGAACAGTTGGTGTATTTGAGTCCACACTCAGACACGACGCTGGATGTGGTCAGTGATGATGACATCTATATCATCGGCGGTTTAATAGACAAGTCATATACGGCTCCCATTTCGGCGATTAAAGCGCGTGAAGACGGGATCCGATCGGCGCGACTGCCCATCAGGGGTAACCTGGAGTGGAGGCGCGGCTCTCAGCACCTGTGCATCAATCAAGTGCTGGCCATTCTTCGCGAGTGGCAACTGACCAGAGACTGGCCCGAGAGTCTCAGACGCCATATACCGATCCGGAAGTGGATGTCCGACGAAGACTATGACCACATGAAAGATGACATTATCGATAGATATAAGTATACGTGATGTCCATTATCTCCCATTTGATCCAATGATCTATTAGTTGTTAATCAATACTTTTTGTGATTTAATAAAAGTCCCTTAAAATACAAATTCAATGCTTGGGTTTGTGTTTGAATTTTACGTCAAAATTTGTTTATGTTTTGAATCAAGTTTTGGTTTAAATTATGATTTAATTGTGAATTAAATGTTGTTTTGAATGAGAGATGAGTTTAAAGGGAAACCAGAAGTCAGTTATGATTAGTATTAATGATATTTTGGATGATTTAAGGCATGAAAACAATAGACTTTTAAATGAGTTATTGTTTGCAAACAAATGTCTCAATGAATTGAAAACTCATTTGAATTTCATTTGCAATAAATTGGAGACAATTATTACCGCAGAAGACAAACAACTCTTCAATCATTTGATCCAAACGTTAAGTCAATTCACGGACAAGACATCACTCGAAGAGGAGATCCAAAGAAGTAATGAAATTGTTGTCAAACCTGTTGTCGAGAATACAAATAAAATAAAGAGTCCATCAGTTGTGCGAAGAAGTGATGAAACGATTACCACTTTTTGTGAAGAAAAGACAATCAAAACAAGTAAAACAATAATTGAGACAAACGTTAGAAGAAGTGGAAGAACTGATCGCAAAGTATACACATGTGTACTGAAGACACAGAGAGATCCAAATCATGTCCCAAAACCCAAACCTGAGCGCAAAGTGTATGCAATACCTGATCCCGAATCGGATCCCAATTCACTCCTATTATTACGAAGAGATAATTACGACCTGAAGACTCAGCAGTTTATGTGTCCTAACCCTCATTGCCGTAAAGGATACAGAAGTGCAATGAGATTATATAAACACTTCCATACCGTCCATCACATGAAGAAGAAAATCGTTTGTCAAAAATTAAATTGTGGTAAAAGTTTTAAGACAACGCAAGAACTTAAAAGCCATGAAAACAATGTTCACAGCGATTACCGTCCCTTTGAGTGCTCGCAAAAGGGCTGCGATTTTAAGTTTAAAACTGAAGCCCAACTGAACTCACATTCAGTCATTCATTCAGACATTTATGCCTTCAAATGCAATGAATGCGAGAAAACATTCAAAACTCAATACAATCTTAACATTCATTTGCGGATCCATTCAAAAGAAGACACCTTTCGGTGTCGTTACGAGGGATGCAATCAATGGTTCAAATCTGCTCTAAGACTCATTAAACACAAGATATGTGTTCACAACGCGCGGCAGAAGTGGTATCCATGCGAATGGCCCGCATGTGGCTATCGGACTAAGAGCTCATCTAGTCTTAAAAATCACCGCCGCATACATACGGGTGAGCGACCGTTTGAGTGCCGGTGGCCGGCGTGTGATAAACGGTTTGCTATGTTTCAAACGCGCAAAGATCACGAGCGGATCCATTCAAATACGAAAAACTATGTGTGTCATTGGCCCGGATGTGGCTATCGGTGCGTTCAGACCTCTAATCTTAAGAAACATATGAAAGTACATCAAAAATAATTGTTTAAATTTAATTAATTTTAGTTATATTTGAATTTATTAATGAAAAAATTTGTAAATTGAAGTGTATTTATAAATTGTAAATTAAATAAAACTTCATTTAATAGTATTGAACACTAAAAGTATTGAACGTTAATTAAATTGTGAGACAATCCCTCTGTTATGGCATTTGTCTCAACATTTGATAAAATATTTGACATAAAATGTGAATTGAATTAAGTTTTGGTTTAAATTATGATTTAATTGTGAATTAAACGTTGTTTTGAATGAGAGATGAGTTTAAAGGGAAACCAGAAGTCAGTTATGATTAGTATTAATGATATTTTGGATGATTTAAGGCATGAAAACAATAGACTTTTAAATGAGTTATTGTTTGCAAACAAATGTCTCAATGAATTGAAAACTCATTTGAATTTCATTTGCAATAAATTGGAGACAATTATTACCGCAGAAGACAAACAACTCTTCAATCATTTGATCCAAACATTGAGTCAATTCACGGACAAGACATCACTCGTAGAGGAGATCTCAAGAAGTGATGAAATTGTTGTCAAACCTGTTGTCGAGAATACAATTGGAATAAAGAGTCCATCAGTTGTGCGAAGAAATGATGAAACGATTACCACTTCTTCTGAGGAAAAGACAATCAAAACAAATGAAACAACAATTGAGACAAATGTTAGAAGAAGTGGAAGAACTGATCGCAAAGTCTACACATGTGTACTGAAGACAACTAAAGATCCAAATCATGTCCCGAAACCTAAACCGGAGCCCAAAGTAATACCTGATCCCGAATCGGATCCCAATTCACTCCTATTATTACGAAGAGATAATTAAGACCCGAAGACACAGCAGTTTATGTGTCCTAACCCTCACTGCCGTAAAGGATACAGAAATGCTATGAGATTATACAAACACTTCCATAACGTCCATCACATGAAGAAGACATTCATTTGTCACGAATTAAATTGTGGTAAAAGTTTTAAGACAAAGAAAGAGCTTCAAAGCCATGAAAACAATATTCACGAAAACAGCGATTACCGACCCTTTGAGTGCCCGGAAAAGGGCTGCGATTTTAAGTGTAAAACTGAATCAATACTTAATTCCCATTCAGTTATTCATTCAGACATCCATTCATTCAAATGCAATGAATGCGAGAAAACATTCAAAACTCAATACAGACTTAACTTTCATCTAAAACTTCACGGAAATGAAGACAACTTTAAATGTCGTTACGAGGGAT